TTAATTTAAATTGTTGTTAAATTTTAATTATTCCTTTACCGAATTAAAAAAATTTTTTTATAAATATATGACCATTTTTTTGATAATTTTTAATCTAATTTCTTCTCGATTTTAATTATTTTTATTTACATAATTTCAAATTTTATTTTTAGTTTCAAACCTCTTGATATTCCACACAAAGAATTGAAGAATGGAGTTAGAGTTTGTAAGTTTTTTTAGATATAACTTGGGAAATTTTTAAAAAATCCTTTTAGTTTTTATGGATACAAGCTCTCAAAATACTTGTCCAGTTTGTTTTGGCGCCTTCCCTGGTATTATTTTTACTGACAGATGTAAACTTCTTATTTTTAAAAATTATTTTTTGATAAAAAATAATTTTTAAAATTTAATTTTAGCTGCTTCAATAATTCAAAATGTTCATTTAAAACGCCATACTTCTGGCCCTTTGGAAGCTTTTTATTGCCAAATTTGTAGCCATTGTGTTACACAACCTCGAGTTCTTTTCCTTTCTTTACCTTCTATTGTGCAGGTTTTGAAAAAAAATTTTTAAATTTTAAACTCTTTTTTTAAAGCATTTAATTAATTCACATGGAATGCCGAAAAATGTCAAACATGATACTTTTTACATCAGAAATTTTAACAATTCTGAAACTACGGTTATTTTTTTAAATTTTTTAGTTTTAACTTTTTGATTTAGGAAGCTCTTCAACATTTTATTGCCAACCAATTAAAACTTTCTATTACCCAATTAATTACTGAAATGAATTCTTCTAATTTAAATTGGGCAAAAACTGTGCCTGTTGGACAATTTGTAAAGTCTTCTAATCCACCAGCCAACACAAAAACTAAACAAAAAGTTGACAACACTAAAAATAATCAACAAAATAAAAAGAAAAAGAAGCGAGGACGTGAAGGTTTTTAATTTTTTATTACAAAAATGTGGTTGATTTTTGAGAAAATTTTATTTTACCAAACTTAATTAAAATAGCTTAATCCCAAGACAACTTTTGAAAATTTCTGAGGATTTTTACTAGTAGAATAATATTTTTATCCTTCATTTGTTTTTTGTCCTTTCTAGTTTTCTTAAAAATATTCTTCTTGTAAGATTCTTTTGTTTTTTACAGAAACTCCACCATTTGATTTAAATGGCGATCCTCTTGACCAATTATTAAAATGTCCAAGTCAATGTACACTTATCCAAAGGCATAGAACACATTTGAAAGTTTATTTGTTTTATAGTATTTTCAATATTTTATTTAAAATTTTCAGAGAAAGCAAGTGCCAGTTAAACAAATTTTAGAGCCTATAAAAATGCAAAACGTAATTATTGACCTAAGTTTAATTGGATTGGCAAAATATATTGATTATAAAAATGATAAGGGACAAATTAGAAGTGATAAACAAAATAGAAAAGAAGGTAATAAATTATTTAAATAAATTAAAGTTTTCAAGAGATTTGTGTAAAATTTCCGCTAACTATAAATTTTGATTTTTTAAATAAAAAACTACATTTGATAATTTTGAGAACACAGATAATCAATAAATTTCCATATAAATTTTAAAAAATTAAAATAAATTTTCAAAAAAATAGGAAATGAAGGTGGAAGTGACAGTGAGGACAAAACCGATGAAAGTGAAGATATTGAAGACGAAGAAATTAGTTCTAATGATTCTGATTATTCCCCTAGAAAGGCAAATAGAGGATTTGAGACAAGAAAACGTAGAAAGATGGAAAGTAGTGAAAGGTGTAGTTCTACAAATATTGTAGATCAATTGCAACAACATCGTCTGCAGCAAATAATAGAAAAAAATCGTATGTTCTTTGAAAAAATTTTTGGAAGGCTCAAGAATTGTTTTTTTTTGTTTTTTGGGTATCTTTTCCCCTATTGTTTAGAAAACTAATTTTTAAATCCATTTTTAATTATAAATAGTTAACAATACGCCATCTTCGTCTCAATCATTACCTGCAAATAAGGGATTGATGAACCTCACTTCAAATTCGCCTTTATCGTCAAATGGGGTACAAAACGTGGTATGCAAGACTGAGCCAGCTAATCAACAACATTGATCTTTAAATAAATTTATTTTTTTTTAAATTTAAAATTAATTCTGGGTTTTTGAAATTTATTATGATTATTATTCTTTTGACTATTTTGTTACAATTATTATTAAACATTTGATAAAAAGACAACAAAGCATATTATTATTTTTTGAACTTTTTAAAATCCTTAAAATATTTAGCTATATTATCTTTTTTAATTTTTTTAAACATTTTTTTTAATTAAGTTTAGCTTTTAAATTATTCCCTGAAAACAATGTATCGTCGTCCATCTGATCATGTCCCGGCCAATTTGACCAATACAACTGCATTAAGTTCTACTACAATGCTTGGTGGAGCTGTTGCCTCATCACAACGCCGATTTGCTGGACACAAAATATCTAAAGTTATTATTAAATAGATTAAGGGGATTAAAGCTTTTCTTTGTATATTCCCGATGTTTTCTACAAGGCCTTAGTCCCTCTTAATTTAAATTTTTTATCAGAATATTTTTCCCAAAAAATTTTAAAGGTTCGTTTCCTCGCTGATCAGGCAGAGTTTACTGGTCGTTTGGTTACTGGCTCGTGGTGTTCAATAGGTAAAATTTAAAAAGTAATTTTTTAAAAATGAAAAGAAAGTTAATTAATAGGCCAACAACACGGATATTTAACTCTTTGGAATGTAAATAAAAATGAGGGAATTAAAAATGATAAAAGTTTTGCCTATAAAGAAAGAATTTCGGTTGGAAATGGGGTTGATGTTAATGATATTTTGTAAGGAAGATTTTTTTGAATTAAAAAAATAATAATTTTTTTTAAAAAAGGGTTGTAAATTCACAACAATTTTTGGCTTCAATGAGTAATGGGGAGGTTAGAATAATTAATTGTGCATCAAATGAAGGGAATGGGGATGAGAATACTGACAGTGAAATTGGTGAACAACAAGTAAATGACCAAAATAAAGAGGAGTTAATGACAACTGTAGCTGCTTATAAAAATGTTCATAAGTTTGTTTTTTTTAATTTTTTAGTGAATTTTTGGATTAATAAAAGGAATTCTTGAATATTTTTGGGCTAATTATAAGATTTTCTTAATTTCCCAAAAACTACTTTTCGTTTTGTCTCTTTATTTAAAATTCAAAAAATTCCTTTTTAAAGACAAGCATCTTCAAAGACTATTTGCCTTATGGACAACGATATATTTTCTGGCTCAGAAACTGGCCAAATTGTTCGAATTCAACCAGCAAGTCGTTCAACTCACGCAGTTCGTCCTTTTGCTGATGATTTAATGGGTTTGTTACACAATGTTTTTTGAATAGAAAATTAATTTTTTTGCTGAAAATCTAGAGTTACCTTATTTTTCCTTCCATTATTTTTCGGTGGAATAAACTAATTCAGACCATCAATTCTTCTGAATTTTTCTCTTAAAAATTTTAATTTTCAGGTGTCACTCATTTACGTACATGTGACAATTTTTTAATGCTTAGCGCGCATTCGACAGGACAGATTCACTTATGGGATGTAAGAAAAAGACCTCAGAGTCCTGACTTTGGTATTTTTAGTATATTTTTTAAGCAAAAAATTTTTTTAAAAGGTATTGAGCCTTTAAATTCTCGTCCAGTGACTGGATTAAACAATTCTATTACTGCTATTGCTACGCATCCAACTCAATTACACGTGGTAAGTTAGTTAGAAATTTTTTAGTAATTTTTATTTTCAATTTCAAAATGTCAACTTTATCTCAAAAATTTTTAAAAATAATTTTAATTTTCTTAGGTTGGTATAGGAACTCATGATGGTGTTGTCTCTTTTATTGACCTTCGCCAAAATAATGAACCCCTTCCAATTGCATTTAGGGTTTCACAGGAACCAGTGACTGAGGTTTTTTGTTTGTTTGTTTTTTGTTTTAAATTTAAGAATATTTTTAGATTAAATTTCATCCATTATATGCAAATAATTGTTTTTCACTTTCTGAGTCTTCTTTAATACACTGGGATGGAACTGTGCTTTCTCGTGAAATTAAGTAAAATTAAAAGGAAATTTTTAAAATAAATTTTTTTAAAGTAAAACAATTTATTCTTCACCAAATAATGGAGGGGGTGATTTATTGTTAGATTCTGGTATATTTAAATATTTTAAAAAGGTAATAAATTTTTTTCAGTATTAGTAATGGAGATGGATGAAGAAGATGAAAGGCGAAATATTTGGTAATTTAAATTTAAAATATATTTTTTAAAAATTTTTAAAGGCTTTCTGCCCGGGCATCAACAAATATGCAATTACGTGTTTTAATTGAAGGTGAGCCAAAATTGTTATCCACATTTGATATTGTTGAGGGTGCTTTAGTGGGCGGTTCTCACACTGCTGAATTAATTCTTTTGAAGGGAATACATTTTGTTAATTAATTAAATTTTTGTTAAAATATATTTATTGACCTTTTACTTAAGTGTTTTTTGGGGTTATTTTTAAAAATAAATTTTTCATTAATTTTGCTTTAAAAGTCACATAAACATAAATTCAATAAAAAGTTTATTTCTTGTTTGACAGTTGTTTTTTACTTTTTTTAATATTTTTCTTTATTTTTTAATCTCAATTTGTATTTACATAAAACTAAATATTTTAATTTTTTAAAAATTATTTTTGGATTAAATATTATTAAAGAAAAAGGAAATTAATTAATTGCGTATAAATAACATTAAACCTGTTTTTATAAAAGAATTATTTTATTAATTATTTTTAACAATCAATTTTCGTTTATTTTTCCTTTTGTACTTTAATTTTGAATTAAATTATTCTCAAAAATTATTTGTATTTTTCTAACCCAATTTTTTAATTTATTTATCATTAATTTATTAAATTAAATTAAAATAATACAAATAAATAATTTATTTTTATGTATTTTATTTTTAAATAATTAAATACTTTTTATTTAAAATTTTTAAATATTTTTTAATTAAAAAAAGGATGATAGAAAATCCATTTCCTCCTCCAAATTGTGATGGAATTTTATTTAAATGTTCAAAAATATTTAAACAATTTTTTCCTTCACCTTCACAAAAATTAATTTTACGGCATTATATTCCAATGAGTGGTGGGTGAATTAAAAAAAGAATTTTTAAATTAAATTTTAATCTTTTAAAGGTGCCATTAGCCATTCATTATTTACTTTAAATTTATTTAATCCTTTAATGCTCAAAAGGTTTTTTAAATTTAACGAAATAAAATATTTATTTTAAAGATTATTTCCAACAAATTATATTGCAATAAGCAATGCTATTTTATTTAATTCTCATCTTGGATTGGGGTTTTATATGTAAGATTTTTTGTTTAAAAACTCGAAAACTGATCCAAAAATCATAGAAATTACTTTAAAAATTATTTTTATATTTTCTGAAACATTAATGTCTTCACTTAAAATTTTCTCTTTTTAATGATTTAATTCTCGTAATAATTTTTTAACTTCGAAAACTTTTAATAAAAATTAATAATTTTATTTTAAAAAAGGTTTTTCCGTCCACACATGCACCGTCTTTGGAGGTAAATTTTAAAAAAATATTAAAATTAAAATAATTTTTTAAAAAGATGGCGTCGTGTAGAATATTGTGTATTTTCTTCTGTTATTTTTAATTTTGGGTCAATTCTACTTTCAATATTTTTAAGAGATTTTTTACCTAAAAAGTAAATTTATTAAATTTAATTTTTAAATTAAAAATAATTTAAATAAAAAGGTGGTCACAATCTGTCCGGTCCTTTTTTGGAATTTCTCTCAGTTTTTTCTTGGTAATTTTTATTTAAAATTTAATTTTAAAAATTCTTTTAAATTTTTCCCAGTTACACAGAGCTCGTCGTTATATTAATTATATAGATCAAAGAACAATTTTGAGTGGAATAAGTAAAAGAAATAATAAAATGAAAAATAATTCTATTGTTAGTCCAAGCCCTTCTCCATCTGTTTAAAAAGGGAAATTTTAAGAAATTTATGAATTGTTAATAGTTGTTTAGACTTTGTTTTAAATTTACTTCTTGGCCATTTTGATATTTAAATACTCGATCAGATATAATTTAAATTCTTTTTTCCAATTTGTGAAAGTTTTTATTAAATTTTTAATAAAATTTATTGTTTCGAAATATCCTGGAGAGGGAGTGGGGAAGCAAGGAGGGGGGTTAATTAATTAACAATTTAAGAGGGTGTAACAATTAATTAATTGAGAAAATATAAAAATATTTTTCGAAATCTGCCAATTTATTTAATTCAATATTTTTTTTTACTTTTTCACACTTTTTTGGGAAACCAAAAAATTCTTTTCTCCTTTTCATCCGTTCATTTTTATAAAAAAATAAATCGAAAACAACAAAATACTATAGAGGGTTATTTTTATTTGTAAACAACTCGTGGCTCTAAATGTGAATGACTAAAAATATATTTTGCTTAAATATGTATAAACATTCTTCTTTCATTTTAGATTTAAGTTCATTTTTTTATTTTTAGTAAATTTTTTTAATTTAACAAAAAATTTTTGAATTGAATTTTTTCTCAAAATTTTTCCTTTTCCCTCCTTTCAGCAATCAAACAAGTTTTTCATTTTCAGCATTTTTAAATTCTAAGTAAAACTTAGGAACCTTTTAGTTAAAAGAAACTTGTGAATATTTCAGAATTAAGGGGAATGAATCCTAAATCGTAGTTGGAAAAACTTTCGGCTTTCTGAGACCTTCCTTTCGTTTTTTAAATATTGAATCTCTAATTTAATTTTATTTGACTCCATTTTAACTTTATTTTCTTACAAAAATTTGTTTGAAATTATCTTTAAAGAAAATTAAAATATTTACAAAATGTCCGAACAAAAAGAAGAAAGTGTACCTGGCCAAAATGCCGTTTCTGGTAATATTGCAGATTGTTTACCTAAATATTTGTTTATTTAAACTTTGTTTTTAAATAAACCTCCAATTAGTTAATTACACTTGTAGGTGCACGTTTGGGCTAAAAAGTCTGGAATCGGGTCAGCTAGATCCCTGTTACCTTCATAATTATGAGTGTATTTAAAAATGGGATTACAGGTTTATTTCATTTACACCTTGGGGGGGGGGGGGGGGGGGATTTTCTAAAAGGGCTTTTATCATAGGCTTAGGCTGGTAAATTAAAAGTAGTTCCGACAGTTTTGAGAATCAAAAATTGTAAAAAACAAACTGCAATATTACCTAATTACGGAACAAACATCAGAAATGTAAGAGAAATTTATTTAATTTAAAAAAATATATAAAATAAAATTAAAGTTATGAGAGTGCTGCTGAAAGGGCTGCAATGGAGGCGGAATTTGAACGGCAATCGGAAGAAGCTCGTTTCAGAATGGCACATGGGTAAATAAAGAAATATAAATTATTTTTTAAATTAAAACAATTATAAAGTTATGATCAATCTGGCAAGTCTGTAAATGCTAAAGACGAGGAAGGCAAAGAAATGGCTGGAGAAGCTTTTGAAGAGACTCATAATCACAAAGAACCGCTTGCACATTAAAATAAAAAGAAAAAAGCAAATAAAGAAAAATTTGAATAAAAGAATTGTTAAACAATAAAAAAATAAATTTAAATATTTAGAACATTAGTTCTGTCAAAATTTTTATTTATTTGAAATAAAATTTTTTTCAATCTTGAGATTTGTTTTGAATGATGGAGAGAAATTTTTAAGTTTTAAGACCTAATCGGTTGGTGTAAAATAAGTAAATTCAATTATTTTAATGGGACGATGAAATAATTTTCTTAATAGGGCAACATTAAAGAATTGTGATAGTATATATTTAGGTATACAAATAAAATGCTAATTTTGGCTTAAAGGCGATAATTTTTTATTTATTTTTTATTTTTAAACTTATAAAATAATATTAAAAATTAAAAAAATAATTATTCAGTTTTGTATCCTTGACAACTAAATAATTATAAATAAATATTGATGAGCTTTATTTAAAAAGTCACTCTTCTTCATATTTATTTAAATAAAACTTTAAAAAATGTATCGAAATTCTCTTCCAAATTTCAAAAAAAGTTCAAATAGCCGTAATGGATTTAAAGTTAGAACACAACAAAGAATTGGGAATATATCTAATTTATTGGTAATTTTTGAAATTAAATAAAATATAAGTTTTTAATTAAAAAGAAGCAAATAAATACAGATGTCCTTTCATTAAATAATTACTCTTCTTCCGATTCCTTGGCATCAATTCCGCCAAATACTGGTATTTTATAGAATTTTAAATAAATTAGGAAGGTTTTAGAACTTTAAGAAGGTTATTAGTTGAATGAAAAAAGACATAAGTTTTTTCTTCCCAAAGGACAATATTTTTAAATTTTTACCCAAAAAATAAATATAATTTCTTTTAATAATTAAAGGGTATATTGTTTATATTTATTTCCCTTTTGGGTATTATAAATTATTTTTTGTTAAAGTAGGGATTACCTTAGTTACCGAAAAACATTCCGTATATTTACTGGATTTATTGTTTTAAATTACCCATAAACTATTAAATTTTTTGCCTACCAAGATATATTTAAATTTATTTTTAATGAAGTAAAGGAGAATTTAGAGATAAGGGTTAGCAAAGAGTTATTTCAAAAAAAATTTGAAAAATTAAATTAAAAAAAAGTTCGTTCAATATCTCCACCACTCTCAACTGCCAGTCTTCCCCATCGACGACCTCAATCAGTATTTAATCAACAATTACCACCTCCAACTACAAGTAGAAGTATAAATACATTACCTGGTGAAATTACTGGAGGAAATATATCCTCTTCTCCTCCTTTGACTATTTTTGAAGAAAATAAAATGAAGGAAATAAATAAAGAAGATTTGAGAGAAGAAAAAGAAAAATTGGAAGAGAATAAAGAAGAAGAAATTAATGGAGATAAGACGGTTAATGTTGAAAATGAAGAGAAGAAGTAAGTTTATTTAATTAAATTTAGTTATGAGATTTACTTCCGTTTGTTTGTGGGTTTTTTGGTTGTTAATTTAATTTAGTTAGATTTTAAAAATTTTTTTAAATTGAAAAACTAATTTTCTAATTTATTGTAAAATTATTGAAAAATAATTTTAATTAATTAATATATTTTTATAGCCCCACACAATCTCCTCCTCTTCCTTCACCTTCAAATAAAAATATAGAAACTACTAAAATAATTGTAGAACAAGCAGATTCAATTTCCTTTGAAGAAAAAAATAATTTATTAACACTAGAATCCCCACCAAGCCCCTCTCCATTTCTTCGTTCTCCTTCGCCTTCCCCAGCTTTATTGTCTTCAAGTTCTCCATTTTCATTTTCTAGGTTTTTAAAAAAATTTTGTAAATAATTTAATTTTTAAGTCAAAATTTATCTGATAATAGTTCCCAAATGTCTTTTATTATTCGAGAAAAATTGCACGAATTCGCAAAAGATTTGAGGAGGAGAACTTCTGCTGTACGTGAAGAACTTTGTAGAGAGCCAACCCCGACAGATGAACAGGCTGAAGAAGACGAAGATGAAGATAAGGATGAAAAGAGAAGAAAAAGTGGGGAGAGAAGGCCTGATCAGGCATCTTTAATGTCTTTGATTGGATTACATCAAGTAGTTAAAATATTTAATCCCCTCCCCTCCCCTCCTCCCCATTCATTCCAAACTTCTAATTATCCTTCTAATCTATTCTAAAGGTGGGATAGCTAAAAGTGTTTATATTTTGATTAGCTGTCCTTAAATATGTTCAAAAGAATAAATTTAAAAAATTAATTGTTTTCTTAAAAAGGAAGTGGAATCAGATGAAATTGTTGATGTTCCTTCACGTCTACTTCCCTCCAACATTGACCCATTTAGTAATTAATTTAAAATTAATTTTTTTAAATTTATTTATTTAAAAGGTAAATTATATGTTAGTTGGTTATCTTTTGTTTTAATTGCTTTTTTATATAATTCTTTTGTAATTCCTTTAAGATGTTCTTATCCATATCAAGTAAATTTTTTATTAAAAAATATTTTTTAAAATTAATTAAAAGACTCGTTCAAATCTTCGTTATTGGTTATTTGGTGATTATATTTGTGATTTAATTTATTTGGTTGATTTAACTTTAATTAAATCTAGATTAACTTTTATGAGAGACGGTATTAATGTTAAAAGTCCTCCTGAAATGCTACATCATTATTTAACTAGTGGTAAGTAGCTACTAATTTGAATATTGTCTAATTTATATACAGAGTGGGGCAAAAGTTCGGTGACAAATGTTTTTAATAAAAAACATTTGTCGGTTTTGAGAAATTTTTTGAAAGCTCCTAACCTAAATAGTTTTAAAATTAAAGTTAGAAAAATGAGAAAACGTGAGAAGAAAACGAGTAATGGAGAGGGTGTCAATAATACATATAATGGAATTGTAATACATATTTTAACAATAATGTTTACTCTATATTGGGTTTCGGACAGGAGAGTTGCCTAAACAAAACCTCATTAAACATCCTATCTTGGATACCGTTCCGATTCGGATACTTATTAATAAAAAATTAATAGCCCGATTTATAATTAAAAATTTTTGTTTAATTTTTAATAAATTCAAAAAGGTGTATTTAAACTTGATTTATTTTCATTACTTCCATTGGATATTTTGTATATATGGACAGGCCCAATTTGTGCTTGGAGAATATTTCGTTTACTTAAATTACCTTCTTTTTGGGAATTTTTTGAATTATTAGACAGTTCATTTTCTAATCCATATGCTATTAGAATTGCAAAAACTTTTTGTTATATGATTTATATAATACATTGTAATTCTTGTGTTTATTATGTTTTGAGTGCTTGGCAAGGTTTTGGACAAATACCTTATAATTATAAAGGAAAATGGTCGGTTAACCAATAAATTATTTAAATGAGAAGTCCTCCTCTCATGCCCGATCCTTACATTTTTTTATATCAAAGCAGACTGATCACGGATACTGATTTTGGTATCCGGATATTTACGGCGGATACATACGGATATCCGCAACCAACTTAATATTATCTGTATTCATATCCGTATCCATGAGCAGGTCTGTATGAGAGTTTGAGTAGTGTTGTTGGGGTTAAAAAATTCTTTTATTTGGGGGGGGGGGGGGGGGGGACTCTTAAAGCTCCCCTACTGAGCAACTTTTAAAATTTCCATCACCACTTTCTAATAAAATTTATTAAAAATAATTAATTTTAATTAAAAAAAAAGGTATTTAAATAAATGGGTTTATAATAATGAAGGGAATGCTTATATTCGTTGTTTTTATTTTACTGCTGCTGTAGCAACTTCTACGGGAAATAATCCAGCCCCAACAAATGTTATAGAATATATTTATATGACATTTTCTTGGATGATGGGTGTTTTTGTTTTTGCGTTATTATTGGGGCAAATAAGGGATATTGTTTCTAATGCTAATAAAAATAATGAAGAATTTAGAACTACTATGGATAGAGTAATCCTTTTAATTAATTTTTTACTTTTATTTTTCAGTTCCCCCCATAAATTTTAGTTCCCCCATTCAGTTCCCCCCACAAAACCTAAACCTTTTGGCTTCAGATTTTGAATTAAACTTGAATCCAAAAGGTTTAATATGAACCTTTCGGCGCCTATGGACAATATTTATTTTTAATTTAAAAATTTAAAGGCCCTAAGCGAATGTAAACGTTTGGGATTACCAGAACATTTAACAGCTAGAGTACGTGCCTGGTTTTTATATACATGGGAACAACAACGAACATTAGAAGAAAAACGTTTGGTGGAAAAATTGCCGTTAAAATTACAAACAGATTTAGCTTTATCTGTTCATTATAATACTTTAAGTAAAGTTAAATTATTTCAAGTAAGTTAATTTCTTAATTAACTTTTCGAAAAATAAATATTTGTGGATTACAGTTAGTTTTTCTTTGATTCTCCCAATTATCTGTTAGTAAAGCTGCCTTAAAAATTGTACATAGTACTACATTATTATTTAATATTACTTAATTTTCCCTAAAGAATATTTCCGTTCCTAAGGGATAGATTTGTGTAGAGATTAATTAATTTAAAATAAAAAAAAATAATTTAAAAAAGGATGCAGATAGAGCATTTATGAGAGATTTGGTTTTACGTCTTCGTCCAGTAATATTTTTGCCCGGAGATATTATTTGTAGAAAAGGGGATGTTGGGAAAGAAATGTATATTGTAAATAATGGAATATTGGAAGTTGTTGGGGGAGAAAATAATGAAATTGTTTTTGCTACATTAACTGAAGGAAGTGTTTTTGGAGAAATTAGGTAAATAATTAAAAATGAAGAAAAAAATAATTGAAAAAAAATTTTAATTAAGAAATTTAAAAAAATTAATTAACGGGGAAATTCTTTACCTGGCGAAGGTAATCCCCGAACGGAAAAAATCAATGGAATCCAAATACCTGTTAACACAAGCTCATTTATTCTCGTAGTAACCTTACCAAAGATTGGTATTTTATTAAAAAAAATCGAAAACAGTTACCTAATTTATAAAAACTTAGTAAAACATAAGTTGAAAACAAATCGAGAAATTAATAAAAAATAATTCAAAAATAGTTTATTGGCAATTGGCGGAAATAATCGTAGAACAGCAAATATTCGTTCAAAGGGATACTCAACATTATTTGTTTTATCAAAAGAAGACTTAAATGATGTAATCAAAGATTATCCAGATGCTCAACAATTATTGAAGAAAAAAGCTCGGTTAAAATAAATAAAAATATTTTTTAGAAAATATTTTTTTAAATTAAAGTCAAATGCTTCGAAAAGACGAAAAAGGTAAAAAAGGGGCAGAAGAATCTAAAAAGAATTTAATTGAACGTTGTAGAGTATCTTGTGATTTAAGAACACCTAGGTAATTAATTAAATATTTTTAAAAAAAATTAAATTAAAAGAATGTTGTCTGCTGTTGCCCAATTACTTCCATCAAAATCAAAAACTGTTAAACAATTATTAGAACAACCAGAAATTAAAGAAGATAAACAAAAGAAAAGTAAAAATAAATAAATAAATAATTTTTAAATTTAAAATTTAGAATATTTAAAACGTTGGAGTACTATCCCCTATGAATTTTCTGATGCCTCGGATATAATGGAGGAACGTAAAAGGAAACAACCTTTGAGTGATAGAAAGGAAAAAATTAATTAAAAAATAAATTAAGGGATTCTTAAAAACCTTTCTATATTTACAACAAAAAATATTTAGTACATAAATAATTTTTAAAAATAAAAAATTTAATGAGATCATTAAAATAAAATTAAAATTTTCTTTTTAAAAATAAATAAATTTATTTATTGTCCAAACAATGTTTGTGCAACTTCAGAAAGAAAACGAAAACTTGAAGTATTTGTTGTTGTTGTTGAGCTATTAACTAAACAAAACAATAAACATTAAAAACAAATTTTAAATTTACAAGAAGAGGGAGGAAATGTTGAAGAAACATTTTGTTGTTGTTGTTGTAAAGTTGTAATGTTTTGATTTAAATAAATGTTTGGATTGTTTTCTGTTGTTTGTTGTTGTTTTTGTGTTTGAATTGAATTAAAAACATGTTGGTTATAATAATTTTGGGGGAAAACATTTTGTTGTTTAAAATGTTTTTGTTGTTCAAATAAGTTTGTTGGGAATGTTGGGAAATGTTCAAAACTTGTTTGGCTTGTTGTTGGGTTAAATGTTTTTGCTTTGGGGTTTTGCTGTGTTTCTGGTGGTAATATTGAAGTAGATGGGAGAATAGATGAAATATTGTTGGTGTTATATTGAGGAGGAAAAACAGAATTAGTTGGATCTGAAAAATAAAATTTATTTTTTTCTGATTAAAAAAATATTTTTTAAATACTTTTTTGTGATTGATTATTAATGATTGTAGATGCATATGTATTTGGTTGTTGCTGTTGAGGTAAAGGAGGGTATAAATGAGGAAGTATTGACGTTGTTGTTGTCCCCGAAGAAGTTGGAGAGTCTGTAAAGAGGAAGGAGGTATTTGTTTTTTTATAAATAATTTTAGTTTTTTTAAAGTATTTTTGACCAAATTTATGATCATTGAAGCTAAAGTGCTTATAAATCTCTGTTTTGCTCGTACTCATACTTCCTACAAAAGTACGAATTTTGATACGAACTTATAAGCACTGGCTAAAACCAGTTTCCACACAATTTGAAGTACTTTCTATAATCTGACATGAATAATTTTTATTTCAAAATATAATCTTTACTATTTTGAGGGAAAATTTGTGGCCAATGAAAAATTGAAGAAGCCAAATCAGAATCTAAGGGAGGTTGTAATATAGGTAAAGGAATAGCTTGATTGTTTAACATTTCATTATTATTAATATCTTCATTATTAATATCAACAACTGCTGCCATAACTGCAGATGTCCAATAATCTTTTATTTAAATAATATATTCTTTTATCTAAATTTATTTAAATAAAATACCAGGTATAATACAATTATTATTTAAATATTCTCCTCCTCCTTCATTATTAGTTAAATCCATAATTAAAGAACCAAATAAATTTTGTTGTTGATTTGGAGAAATACAACAATAATAATAATAGTAAGGAAATGTTGACAACATTGCTGAAGAAACATCTTCATTTAAATTATTATTGTAGTAAATACTATTTGTTGTTGTTGAAGGTATCTAAATTAATTAATTAATTAAAAGAGGGTTGGGGCTGGAAAAAGTCTGAATATAAATAAATTTTTGATTCCCAGTAAAAAATATTTGTGATAAAGTGGAAGTAACCAAGGTGGTAGTAACTGAAAAACATTTATAAAATTTTAAAATGAGAGCGCCTAAACTTCTTTACCACAAATATTTCTTTACATATTTAATTTAAAAAATTCAGAATATTTAAAAATATTTCCCTAATTTATATAGAATAATTAATAAAATTAAAAAATATATTTTACATCCAAATGTTGATTAATATTATTATTATCTTCTACTAAATTAATATTTAAATCTTCTCTATAAACAATTGCTTTGTTCACATTTTCATTTAAAAATGAAGAAGATTCTAAAAAATATTTTCAAAATTAAATCGACAAATAAAACCACAAAATACCTTCTTCTTCCCCTCTTTTTTCAACTTCTTTTGGAATTAATTTTTTAACAATTTTTGATTCTTCATTTTCATTTTTATTGTGTTTCTTATATTTTTTGCATGTTGTTGTTGTTAATTTCTTTTTAAGTTTTTCATAATTAGAAGTTCCCTCTATCGAATTACTTAAATAAAGTTAAATTAAAATCATAAACCCTCTATATAGCCAACCCTCGTTAGTAGGAATAATATACCCAATTCGATAAAGATAACAATCCCCTCAGAAATTCAAAAGTTTTTCCCAAATTACCGGATTATTTTAATTAATTAAAATAACCGGGGTTCGGGTCGAAAAAAAGTCCGGGTATCGGGTAACCCGTCTCATCCCTTGTAGAGACGTCAAATACTTATGGTTCTGTATCTCAACTCAAAAATTTTATTAGATTTTTTATGTCTCCTTAGAAAATTTTCTTTCCTCAAAATTTCCTACAAATTACCAAAAAATCATTCAAAATTCAAATCCTTCCAACCTTTTATTTTTATTATTTTCTTTAATTAATAAAATATTTTTTGAAGGTTTAGGAGAATTATTATTTAATGTTGTTGTTGGAATGGGTGGAACAGATAAATTAATTGGTTGCTGGAAAATTCTTGGTGATTGAAGTAAAGTGTCATCAAATGAAAGGAATCTAATAATAAATATTTTTTAAATAAAATTTTAATTAGAAAAATACTTTGATTTAATATTATTTCTCTTTTCCAAAAGAGATTCACCATCTACTTCCCTATTAATTAATTAAATAATTTTTTAAAATGAATTTTTTTAATTTTTACGTTAAAATTCGATGATTTGCCCCAATACTGTCTGGTTTACTACTCTTTAAAAAATATTTTTTTATCAATTTAAAAAATAATTTTACTTTAAAAAATAGTCGAAAACTTGTTTGAACATAATAAATATTTTTAGATTTTACACTAATTAATCTATAAATCATTAAACCAGAAGAACAAGATTTTATAACTAGAAATATTTAAATTTAAAAAAATAAAATTTTATTTTTAAAAATTTGGAGTTTATTTTTAATTAAGTAGAACCATAAAAAATTAAATCCCCCAATTCCTAGTTAATATATTAATATAATCTACCCCAAAATTTTTTAAACTGATTTTCTAATTTATCTGGGTCTTCGACTCCAGACTCCATTGGATAACGAAAAATTGGCTGGTGAATATATAGATAGATTTTGTTTAAACCCGAAAATAACCCCCCCCCTCCCTTCAGAACACTCAGATTCTAGAGTAGATCACCTTTACCAAAATAATTTTTCTATTTCCCCTAGGTATACAAAGCCCCTTTTAAAAATTAATTATTATTTTTAATTTACCCATTTCATGTGCATCAGAAAAATATTTAACATCACCAGGATGTATAAAATAATAAAAAGAACGTGAAAGTAAATCTTCTGAATTGTTCTCAAAATTTGATGTAGAAGGTATTAAACAATTATTATTTTCATTATTTAATTCTAATATTTGTTTAAGACTTTTTAAAAGATAAAATAATTTAAAATTAAAGGAAATTTTAAAACCGAGAATCTAAAGATTGTATTCCCATATCTAATGAATGTTTTGATTTAAGGAGGATCATCTAAACGAACATTCATTTGAAGAGGTGGAACAAATGGACTAAAATTGAAATAAATATAATTAATTTTCTGTTGTAATTTTTATTTAATGTGGAGTAGGGTTGGCGGAACACAGGGAAATCTTCGGATATCCGGATCCGATATTCGAACCTTCGGTATCCTTAGAGCAACCATCAAATACTAAGAGAAACTGATCATTCCGATTCGATCAAAAAAAGTAAAAAAATATTATCCCGTCACTCTTTTCATATAGAATTATTTTTTCTTTCTCCAGTTCAGGCTTCTGACTAGTACAAAACCAAATATCCAACCCAAATTATTTCAAAAAATATTTTAATTAATTAAATACATACATACAAATAGCAATTAATGCCCACCCCCAACGTTTAGATGAATTAATTAAAGGAGAATATGATCCTTCAATTCCATTTAATTCCTCCAATCTCGAAGTTGTTTGTTGTTGTTGTCGCCGTCCTCTCCCATTTTGTTGGGGAAATTGGGGGGAAATAAAAGAAGAAAGGCCGTTATTTTGATGGGAATGAATTTTTAAAATTTTTGTTTTTAATTCTACACGCTTTTGAAAGAAGAAAAATTATTTTTTTAAAAAGATTTCTTTAAAATAAATATTACAACAAATCCACAAGTATTATCCAATAAACATCTAAAACGCAAAACTATTGGTATATCCCATTGAGAAGCCAAATCTGTTTTTGAAATTATTTTAATAAGAATGTTAACCTTTTAAGAAATTTTGAAGAGTAAAAACCCTTTCTATCAATTTTCAAAAAATAAAAATTGTGATTGAAAGAAGTAAAACTTCAGCCTAGGAACACAAACAAAATTTAAATTTTTCAGATTTGGAGGGATATTAATTTACACTAATTACCTAACCTACTAAATTTCCTCAAATCTTTTCTATTGAAAAAATATGGAATTGGGGGGGGGGGGGTGTTTATTTTATTTATTTATCTATTATTTCAATTACTTTCATTATTTTCTTCAGAAGATAATTGCTTCAATCGTTGTAGTAAAGACCGAAGTTCTTCTCGATCTTCTGAATGAATCCTTAAAAATATTTTATTTTATTTTAAATTTTTCTTTAATTTGTCAAATAACAAATATATTTATATTTAAAATTAACAATTACATTTCAAAAAGTGATTGATGCAAAATATCTGACTGAAAATAAACAAAAATTTTTAATTAAAAATAATTTATATTAAATACCTGTTGAAACCCTAAATAAATTTCTATACTTTCTGTTACATAAAAAATATCTCCATCCAAATGTAAAATAAGTAAAAAAGCACCTAATGCCTTTAAAAATTATTTTAAATTAGATTTTTTTAAAAATAATTGCCTCTCGTAAAAACATGAATACCTCCCACAGTCTCTAACTATTTCTCTGCACTTATCCGGAAATAGGGAGAAGCATTAAAAAGAGAAGAAAAGTACGGTAAAACAACTTGTTTAATTGGCTCCTATACAACTCATCCAATCGTTAACTCATCCAATCGTTAACTCATCTACACGGCCAAAAAGGGGTCAACTCATCCAATCGTTAACTCATCCAATCGTTAACTCATCTACACGGCCAAAAAGGGGTCAACTCATCCAATCGTTAACTCATCTAATCCTTAACTCATCTACACGGCCAAAAAGGGTCAACTCATCCAATCCTTCGGAACGAGACTATTGAGTACCGGCCGTTTGAGTCTTTGGCCAGTAGAGTACCGCCGGTTGAGACTCAACTGGCCATGGACTCAACTAGCCATGGACTCAACTGGCCATGGACTCAACTAGCCATGGACTCAACTGGTCATGGACTCAACTGGTCATGGACTCAACTGGCCATGGACTCAACTAGCCATGGACTCAACTGGTCATGGACTCTACTTACCAAAGACTCAAACGGCCGGTACTCAATAGGCTCGTTCCGAAGGATTGGATGAGTTGACCCTTTTTGGCCGTGTAGATGAGTTAAGGATTAGATGAGTTAACGATTGGATGAGTTGACCCCTTTTTGGCCGTGTAGATGAGTTAACGATTGGATGAGTTAACGATTGGATGAGTTGACCCCTTTTTGGCCGTGTAGATGAGTTAACGAATTTTAGCCGTTTAGATGAGTTTACCCCTTTTTGGCCGTGTAGATGAGTTAACGATTGGATGAGTTAACCGGACACGGTTTAATTCTCTCACTTCTTCATATTTAAAATAATTTAAAGTGGTTAGACAAAAAGCGAGAGATTACACAACAATGTACATAAACATAAGAGAGACAATTTCCGGAAAAATTACTTTTTGTGCTAAAGATGAATAAAAAGGTTCATTTGTGTCAATAATTGGAATTTGATGGAAAGAATTAAATAAACTTGGAACAGAAAAGAATGAAGAA